CGCTCGCCTCATAGGTTCCTTGAATGATCTTCCTCAGATGCTGCTTTGCGATCTCCTTCTCTTTTACTAAGCTGGCTGCATCTGGCCTCCACCCTGCTGGTGGTGTTTCTGGAACATGTGAAAACTGAGACGTTTTCTTTGGACTCTCTTCCACTCTGGGATCAAGGTCTTCTACGGCGGTCTCTGCGGACCTCTTTGTTCCTTGAACTGGATTCGGCTTGACCTTTGCCCCAGGTGGATCTATCCGAAGTTCTCCTGTTCTCTTCTTGGGCTCTGTTGCTACCTTGGCTTTCGCCACTGGCTTCTTCTCTATCTCGGCTGCTTGCCTCTTCATCTCATATCTCTCTTTCGGGTCATCGGGATAGGTTTTCTCACCCTCTGCTGCTGCTGGCGGTGAGCTTCCCGACCCTGCGCTCTTTGCATCTTCCTTCTTTTCTGGTTCCCCAGCCGCGTCTTCGGCTGGGATGTCGGAGTCCTTGTCGGCCACGACTTTCGGCTTCACAGTGTCAAGCTGTTGCCGTTCTTTCCTCTTCTTTGCATGGGCTTCAAGTCTCGCTTGCCCAGCTTCATCCTTTTCCATTGCTTCGGTGATCCTTGCTCTGCACGCCTCTGTGTGCGGCAAGGTCGTCCTCCTGTCTTCCAAGATGCACTTGCATCCTGGGCAGCCTTCTGTGGCTCCATGCTTGTGCACATCCTCTCTCCTGATGTACACTCGCCTCTGTTGTGGTGGTGCCACTCGTTCCTCCTTGGGAGGTGGTACCACAAGGCGCTCTTCGAGCATCAGCTGCTCGCCGGCAGGCCTTGCCGCGGAATGCTCCCACGGTAAGCCCCGCAAAAGATCCCAATCACTTGGGTCCCAGCGGTCGGCTGAACTCAGCCGCCGGATTCCTGTGCCTCTTCGCACGCCATCGGCCGTCATCACCAAAATGGATCCTGTTCGGCCATGGTGACCTACATAGCGTCCTTCTTTCAGGATGCGAACTCCCTCGCCTACTTCTCTAAAGTATAGGCGTTCACCAAAAGCTATGGCAGGTTTCCGCCATTGCTTTCCACATCTTCTGGCCTCAGGCGTTCTGCCATCTTGACCTTTCTTGTACCTGCTCAACAGGTCTCCTGCCTGTCTTGGCAGCCATGCCAATGCAGGATCATCATCTTTGAGCTCTTTGCCGAGCTTCTCTTCCAACGCGCTGCGGAGAACTCGCACTTGACGCTTGATCTCCTTGCAGGCGTTCTCTGCCAGACCATTCGCCTGATGGTCTCCTACTGGCGACTCTTCCGAAACCCAGTCTATGCCGGTTTCTTTCGCCGCTGCCTCTTTCAAGGCTACCACTGATGGCTCACCATCTGACTTGAGGACCACCTTGCGGTGTCCCAAGTTCTTCAGGAAGTTCGCCACGAACTTCACTGCATACGGTGTCGCTCCCTTCGAGTCCACGAAGGTCGCCGCTAAGGACTGTGTCCTCTCATCCTTCACCACGAGGATCGGCTTCACTCGCTCGTCCTCCACGCCGCCCCGTGACATGAACGTATAGTCCATTGCCACTGTGGGCACAAGGCTCTTGGCCTTCTCTTCCTCGGACCTCGTCCGATGTGGCTGTCCCACAGCCCATCCAGCAATGCAATGCCGGCACCAACTTCGATATTGCACATGGCCTGTCGCCTCGTGCTCTTCGATCTCAGCCGGAGTTGGGTCCTCCGGTGCTCTTATCTGGATGGGTTTCTCAACCTCATCAACTAGTTCCAACTCATCATCCTCTTCTCGCCCCTCTGGACCAGGTCGGCCTGAATCCATAGAGGCATCTCCTCTCTCTCCTGTGGCGTTCAACTCTGCGATGCCACAGCATTCCTTTGTCGGTTTATACCCTGGCTTCCTCAAGTAGAAGTTGTACACTCCCTGCTCCTGATACACAGGGATCCAACTCCGCTGCTCTGCAGCGTTCGCTTTCTCCAGGATCGCCTGGACAGCCTTTCCAACTTTGGACCCTTGCGGAATCAAATTTCCGCCTTTTGCATCAAGAACTGCAATCCTTCCAAAGCCTAAGCACTTGGATGCTGAAATCAATGGCTTATGAACATCAGCCATTGAACCTTTCACACGGCATTTGTTGCCGCTCTCGTCGAACCCTTCAAAGGTTCCAATGCCCTGACTGGGCACCAACTCTCCGGATGCAGTCTTGAATACAACTCCGTTGCCTTCACTGACAACCACTCGGTCCTCCCAGCCATTCGGGATGGCTGTCTGGGCTGCTCCAGTGTCCAGGTTAAACTTCATCCATTCTTCGGCGGATGAGGTATCCGCCATTCCAACTCCACTCAAGTCTGCCATGAGCATGCCGACATCGGCTTCCGGAGCTGGCTCAATGCCTTCATCCGGTTCGTCCATCTCTTCCATACTTCCTGCGGCTTTGCCTTTGCCGCCTTTTCCACCTTTGCCTTTGTTGCCTTTGCCACCTTTACCACTCTTATCTCCTTTGCCTGAACCTGACCACTTATCGCCTTTTCCATCCGGCCGTTTCTTGCTCCAGCAATCGGCCGCTCGGTGTCCCTTCTTACCGCAATTGTAGCAGGTAATATCTTGAGCCGGGTTTGAGCTTTTACTTGGATCTCCTTTGCTTGAGCCTTTCTTTCCATCACCTTTGGCCTGTTTACCTTTTCCTTTACCTTTTCCTTTAACTAGGCTTGCAATCCATTGTCCTATCGAATCGACGTCCATGGGTTGAGGTCCTTGATAACTCGAACTTGATGAACCTGGTTTTGGAACAGATGACTTTGATGTGAGGGATGTTTCAATGACAAGTTCAATCTCCTGTTTGATCAATGAATAGGTTGTCAATCTACTCTTGTTCAACAAAAGATGTTTCTCAAGATCTGGGGGTACCAACATCTCCAATGAAGCGGACTTGATGTCGTCCGATAGGGTCTCTCTAGCCCCTGATGCGTTCCGCCGGGATTCGTACCTCCTGATCAGCTCTTCCAGCTGTTCGATGGCTTGCCTCACGGCGGTCCAAGTTTTGACCCGCTCTGGCTGGAGGATAGCCCTGAGGATGTTCCGCTTTCTTCCCGAAGTACGGGGATCCCATCGTCGGTGGACCCTTCGGTATGCCTCGAAACCATTTGAGGCTCCTACCATGAGATCTTCCGTTTCTCCGGAAGTGAGGGTCAGGAGCACGCGATGGATCTGATCTGCCTTGTCTTCTAGGTCACCGATGTCAGTAACGGTGCCAGACCCAAACTCTTCTTCTATCTTGGTCATCTCAATCGCGTCTTCCTGTTCCAAGATGTACTCTAGGATCTCAATGAACTCTCTCCCAAAAGTAGTTATGAACAGGTTATCAATACTCCTGGCCCACTTTCGAAACTCCCCTTCAACATTCCCAAAATTCTCGGGACGCCCCAACCCTTTGGTGTCCATGAGGATTTGGGACTTCTTCCTATCATCTTTCTTCTCAAGGCTTTTAGCCAATTCCCCTACGGCTGAGGCTAGCATTGTCACACCGCCTTGAGACTCCCTCAAAACTTGATTCTCTTGCTCCAACCTCGTTTGGTTCTGTTGGAGTTGAAGTACCATATCCATCAGCTGTTGGATCTGCTGTTCCATGGTTTCCTACTCTCAACCCTGCTGCTGCTGCCGCTCACTCTTTTCCAGCGGCAGTCGCGGGCGGTTCGCCCGGTCAAGGATCGGAGGCTTTTGGCACTCCTGCGGAGGTCAACTCCGCCGGGTCGCGGCCGATCTGAGGTCGGCGGGCCGGTGGCGGCCCGTCCGGAGATCGGGGCCGCCGGACCGGTGGCGGTCCGTCTGGAGATCGAGGCCGCCTTACCGGACTGCGGCTCCTCTCCTTCAGTCTCACGGAAGTCTCTTCTTCCGATGGGCTCTCTTCCTCCTCTTCTTCCTCTTCGGCTGTATCAGCCGCTTCGCTCTTCTTCTGAGCTTTTCGCTTTGCGCTCTCCTCGCGCTTCTCTCTATTGCGGAGTCTTTGTTCTTTCCGCTCTAACCTGATCTCCTCCTTGGGCCGCTCTTTGCCAAACTCTTTGATCCTCTCCTGCAGGTCTTCTGTAATGACACCCTGCTTCTTTTGCAACCTCACCAAGTCTTTGAGCTTCCGATACTGAAGCGAAGTTTGGCTTCGATGTCGGAATCCGGACTGTGGTTCTGGATGCTTCTTCCTCCAAGGTGCCTTGGGATCGATCTTGGCTGGGGTATACTTGGTTTGAGTACCCCGAACTTCCCAACCTGTTGTGACCCCTTCTGCGGAGGTGACGAAATCGGCGATGGTTCGGCCAGATGATGACCGTGCGGCTGAACTAGCCGCTCCAGTTCCTGGCTCACCTGTTAGGTCCTGTTCAGACTCTTCTTCTTCTTCTGACCCTTCTGCTCCTTCTGTATTTTCCTTCTCCTCCTTTGTTTCTACGGTCTTTTCGACCGCTGAGGTTGTTTCTGCGGTCTTCTCAACCGCTGGAGCAATGTTTGCGGCTGAATCCGCCGCTGATGTGGCTGGCAAAGGCTCTTTCTTCTCCTCCTCTTTTTCTTTTCTCTCTTCTCCTATTTCGCTCGGGGCGGCAGGATCTGCCGCTCCCGAGGACCCCAGCTCCTCTTCTTCGGAGCTTTCTACTTTACTGTGTCTTTCCTCTTTTAGGCGCAAAACTCGGTCCCTTTCGCTTTCACCGGGCTCCCGCGCTACCATGAAAACGAGGTTTCGACGTTACGGAACGCCTTTTCCCTTGAGCCAAAATACGTCAAGAGTCACGTGTCTGCAGTACCTATAGCGGAATATATATGGGCTGTACATACAAACAGAGAGAATAGTTGATATATATATATATACGTTGCTCTTGCATCCTGTCGCAGGGCGTGCAAACGCGCCCGGCTTGGCTTGCAGCTTGCTCGGCAAACTTGTTATGCATTTGCTCCAGCAGTTTCTGCTTCCCAGGCTTCAAGCTGTGCACCCCAAGCAGTGCTTTTTTGCCACCAAAGCCGGAGCAAGCCTACACTCCAGTGTGTATCACTGGCCGTTGTCCCAATAAACTGTTGCAACATGATGGCAGCCCCATTCCTCCATATTTGTGAGCATGTTGTCCAGGGCCTCCCTGACACCAAGCACGTCTTTGCTTCCCCTCACTACTATGTTCCTTCCATCATCTTGCTCTTTCAAACCTGCAGCCATGAGGCGGACTTTGCCACCAGGATGCTTGAAAAAATGAATGGCAATTGGGCTGTAGATTGCAAGCCAAAGCTCGTCAAATAGGTCCTTGTCACGAACATGCTTGCTTGCACACTTGATGTTCGAGAACACGCATTCCCAACACCTTCGGACTTTGACGAAACACATCTGCCCGTGCTTGACCTCCACTGCCACTCCTCCACGAATCCAGTCTACAGTAGAACAATCTCTCGAAAAAGAACTATTTTGATGGAGAATTTGATCCACTTCGAACGCTATTTCCTCAATACGTAAACCGCGTAACCGTGGCGTCATATCGTTCAGCGGCACTCCGTGGTATGCCTCATCCTGGCACGATGTCATTCCTTCCATGTGATTTTTCAACCAGCTAGTGGCTTCAACGGCTGACAGGTTCACGTAAGACACAAGTTTGCAGTGACCCTTTGTCAGGAACTTGTGGAGAATTTGAGATCGCGCAATTTGCCAACACTCTTGCCCTGCAGCACCTCTGACAAAGATCTGATGGCCACTGCTTCCTGTTCGCTTGCCAGTCGAGCAAACTCCGGTCCGAACGTCATGCCTGATAATGTGCAAGCTATCTGGGCTGAAGAGTGTGAGATACAAATCGTCAAATGGAGCACGGTCACGAACACCCGGCCATGGCAGCTTGATTCTGTGAAATAAAGCGCGCCAATTCTTGTTTGTTTTGTCCCACGACATCTGTGCACTTTTGCATTCAACTTTGCGGCCATCCATGGTGAAATCATACTCAGAGTGATAGTGTGACCTGCGAGCCCCGTTGCAACAAGTTCCTGGGGTCGGCTCTTCAATCTTGCTGTTCGGATTGAGCCGCGCCAGCTCCTTCTTGCACAATTCGTTCAGGATCATTCCACGACGCTTACCAGACAGCAAAGAGAGTTCATGGCCAGCGTGACCTGCATATGCCTTGCTGGTCTGCCCCGTATCATCCAAAATGTGTTGGAACTGCGAAGCACTCAGCACCAAACACCTCAACTGCCATCCAAACAAAAACGTAAATGTAATAACTACAGGCACACCTGACCGCAACATTGTGGCTTTCGAACCAGAATTCCCAACTTGGGTGAGGCAACCCACAAGCACACAACCCAGTTAGCAAGGCGGGTGAACTAAAGGACTTCAGGACTTCAGGTGAAGAATCCGGCACGCCAGGGCTTCATTGAAACAGAAAACAAAACACGAATTAGCATCCACACATATCTCTCTGGTGTGAGTACATGTCTCCCAAGTTCCTCATGTCCATCAAGAGCAACTCTACTCTGGTGACACTGGATCTTTTGCGCCATCTCTCTGACAGAACCGGTGTGTTCGTCACATCAGGTCTGGTCGCACGTGACGTATCTGAACAGTGAGATGTGGACTGGATGCATGCGATGGATGGGTTTCTGCATGTTTTTGGCACGTGTTCCAAAGGCCGAGGGTCTGGAGCCTGATGAATTCCATCCAAGGAACAGCTGCCCGTCTGCGCACAGTCTAACCAATCCTATCACATCGCTTTGGGATCGCATGCGTAAATGAAAGCCGAACCCAACAATAGAGAGCTGAATGCCCCTACAACAGCCCGGCAACCCCAATACACATCCATCCGCTCTCTGCTTGGAGTCGTGGTTCAGGGCTCTGCGGGTGGAAGGTCGGAGCACAGCTTGCGCTACAGGAAATTGGCTAGGATAGACCAAACTACTCTTCCTAACCACTCAGCGTCATGAAAGTATAATGCTCGAGCAACCTTCGCGCACCGTTTGCAGAGAAAAAACCGAGAGCTTCTAGTCCCACGAAATCATTTGCAGTACATCTCCTGCCGCTTCAGCTCGGTCGACAAATTGTGTACCATTGGTATGGCCGCCACAGCTAGGTCGACAAAATACGCAGCACGCTGAAGGGCTGGCGTGGCATCTTGAATTAACCACTGGTGTCCCAAAGGACTGTTGCTAAAGGCTGGCAGCCCCAATCAACTTCCATCTTTTTCAGCATGTGGTCGAGCGCGACCTTGACATCAAGCACATGTCTAGGTGCAGAAAGCCTCAGGTGTTTTCCACGCGGACCCTGCATCACGCTTGGGTCGAAGTCGCCAGGATGTTTCAGGAAGTGCAGGCCAAAGGGGCTGTAGATTGCAAGCCAAAGCTCATCAAAAAGATTATGCGCGCGAACGTTAGCACCTGCGCACTTGATCGAAAAGAAATTACAATACCAACACCCCCTGCCCGGATCAAAGAGCATCTGTCCGTGCTTGTTTTCCACTTTCACATCTCCACGAACCCAGTCTACCTCAGAAGACGATCTGGAAAACTCAAAAGAAACATGTGGATGGAGAATCCGATCCACTTCGAAAGCTATCTTCTCAATTCGAAAGCCCCGCAGCTCTGGCCCTGTGTGGTTCAGCGGTACCCCCTTGTATTCGTGGTCCTGCCGTGCTGCCATTCCTTCCAATTGCTCCGCTAGAAAGGCCCTAACTTCTGTGCCTGATAAATCTATGTGAGCCACAAGTTCGCAGTGTCCTGCAGCCAGAAGCTTGCCAAGAATTTGAGACCGTGCACTTTGCCAGCCCTCTTGCCCACGCGCACCACTGACAAAAATCTTGTGCCCACTCCTCCCTGTTAACTCGCCAACTTTGGAGACTCCTGTCTGAAGGTCATGCTTGATGATGTGTAAGCTATCTGGGCTAAACAGTGTGAGATACAAATCATCAAATGGAGCTTGATCCCGAAAACCTAGCCATGGCAGCTTGATGCTGGAAAACTGGAAGCCCCAACACTTCGCGTGGTTGTTCCAAGACAATTGTGAACTTTTGCACTCAACTTTCCGACCATCCATGGTAAAGTCGTATTCGGAGTGGTAAAGTGACCTGCGAGTTCCATCGAAACGAGTCCCTTCAGCAGGTTCTTCAATTTTGCTGTTCGGATTTAACCGCGCCAGCTCCTTCTTGCAAAATTGCTCCAGGACTTTTCCGCGACGCGTCCCGGACAGCAAGGATAACTCATGTCCAGCATTTCCAATGTAAGCTTGGCTCATCAAATCCGGCTTTTTAAGGATGTGCAGGAACTGCGCGGCACTCAGCACCAAAGGCCTCCAGTGTGGCCATCGGAAACCACGTGGAAATACTGCAGTTGTTGCTGGCAAAGCTGTGCGCAGCATGAAGATTTTGAGCCGGGATTCCTCACTGGCGCCAGGTGCCACAATCACATTGACACAATCGAAATCCCTAAGAGAGTCACCAACAAAGGACAGCTTCGGGTGAAGCTCTAAGACGATCAATTGGTAGGACGTTCAAACAGAAACAGCTTCAAACCGAGTCTGAGTGGTGCAGTGTGTGGTTGTCTTGCTTTTTTCGAGGTTTAAGGTCGTTGAAGCGGTTGGAGCATGTTAGAGTTGATTCAACATCCATGCAATGGTTGGACGCTTTTGCCCGCTGGTTTCCAGGCACAACCACCCACCACAGGGCAAAGAAAGCATCCAATCAGTGCTGACATGGTCGCCACAGCTAGGACTGACTGTACTGTTTCCAACGTGCCCTGCTCTGGCGTTTCTTGCAGCTGGGGTGTGCAACAAACCTTCATGCAGCTATATAAGGTGCAAGGAGTTTCCAGCGAGATTCGGCAAGGTCAAAAGAAACAAATCACTGCAGTTCACCCATTTAATTACACAGCATGGCGGATACAAAGGTATCAGCATTCTCTGCTTGCAAAGACCGGATCCATCCGGATCCCCATAGAAGACACTGGTCAGCCAGTGTCTCTCGTCCTGGGCGCAGTCGCTGCCCTGGCCTGGCCCGCCAGCCACGTGGTGGGCTATGCTGTCGAAGTGCCGCCGACCGGTGCGGTGCCTGGAGGTCAGATGAAGCCCCTTCAGCAGGAGAGGCTGCCACCTACCAAATCACAAAACCTGAAAACTCGACCCACTTACGTATAATTTGTAAGGTTCTTGCTTTTGTTGGATGAGTCCATCTTGAGGGTCCCCCTCTCGGGCTTTGGGGCAAAGAGCACAATGGTCAAGAGATTGTCTACGGAGTTTCCAGGGTGCCCCTACCACACACACACAACTGAACAGTGCATGTTCTAATTAAGCAGCCAAGTGAGTTCAAAGAACATCACATGCACTGTTTCACCTAATTAGACCACTTGGAGACTTTAGAGGCAATACTTACGGTTTTCTCATGTTTTCTCTATCTTAGTATGATGGGAATTTAGGGGAATGTCACCGAAAGCCACCAATCACTGTAGGACTGTAGGAGTTCTCTCTGCTATGGGGAAGAATGGGAGGACCACACAACACAACTTGGGACTGTGCAAACTGAGATGTCCTGAAGGTCCAAAGCACATCACATGATAGCCAGCGTTAGACTAATGTCGGGTCAGTTCATGCTCAACACATTAGAAGCACGGAATGTCGAGGCAACCACCGCCTCCCTCAGATTAGCCAGATTTGCCATAAAAATCAGAAAATGACTTTCCAAAACAAATCGCTGTTCACAACCCGCCCCTTAATGAACGCACAAAGAACCTGCAAACCTCTTCTCTCTTTGCGCAGAAGGAACTGTAGTCGCACAACATATTTACGCACGTTGAACTATTGGTCTTTCTCGCACCCCTACCCTTCACATGATGCAAGCAGCCTGTCCCCAGGCTTGAGCAGCTGGCTTTCACACAGTTCATTTTAAAATGACACGTCTTGAGGTTCATTGTGGCAGGATAACATGTGCACCGTAAAGTTCACACATTTCACTTCTGGTGCCTGCCGTCCGGCATGAAGCCTCCTTAGAGTGTTGGATCCAAAGCAAGACCGCCATTGCGAGCAACATCATGTATGCGACGCGCGCTTGCAGCACCACGGCCGGATGGGACAAAGAAAAGAGGACTTACAGTCCATGCAGAGTCGCACAGCCGTGAAATCACCAAAGAATAGTTGCAAGAGCTTGACAGCCCCATGCCTCCATCTTGTGGAGCATTTCGTCAAGGGCCTCCCTGACATCAATCACATTGCGGCTGGAGTAGACCTGTATCCTCTGTCCATCATCCTGCTCTTGCAAGCCAGCAAGGCTGAAACGGACTTTGCCACCAGGATGCTTCAAAATATGAACGCCGAAAGGGCTGTAGATTGCAAGCCACAGTTCATCAAACAGGTCGCGATCACGCACACCTTGGCATGCACACTTGATGCTCTGGAAAGAACATTGCCAACACCTTTGCACTTTGTTGTAGCACATTTGGCTGCTCTTCAATTCCACTCTCACCGCTCCACGAAACCAGTCTATTTCTGAAGAAGAGCGTGAAAATGAACAATTGGGATGGAGAATCCGATCCACTCCAAATGCAACCTCTTCAATCCGCAAGCCACGTAGCTGTGGCGCCATATGGTTCAATGGCACCCGCTGGTATGCGAGGTCCTGTGGTGCTCTCAGTCCTTCGATTTGCTGTGTCAGCCAGTTGCTGACTTCAACTGCTGACAAATCCACGGAAGACACAAGTTCGCAACCTTTTGTCAGGAACCTGTTCAGGATTTGATGCCGCGCCGTTTGCCAACATTCTTGCCCCCGTGTGCCTTGAATGGAAATCTGATGACCATGGCTCTCTGTTCGCTTGCCAGTCGAGTAAACTCCGGTCTGAAGGTCATGCCTGATGATGTGCAAACTATCTGGGCTGAAGAGTGTAAGGTACAAATCGTCAAATGGAGCCTGGTCCCGAAAGCCTGGACAGGGCAGTTTGACTTTGTGAAATAGAGCACGCCAACTCTTCTGAGCATTGTCCCAAAACATCTGTGCACTTTTGCATTTAAGGTTGCGGCCATCCAAAATAAAGTCATACACTGCGGTGCTGGCTGACCTGCGGGCTCCATCACAATAGCTCCCTGCGGTCGGCTCTTCCATTTTGGCCTTAGGGTTGAGCCGAGCCAGCTCTTTCTTGCAAAGTTTGTTCAGGATCGTTCCGCGGCGCTTCCCAGATAGCAAGGACAGCTCATAGCCAGCGTGACCTGCATATGCCTTGCTGGTCTGCCCAGGATCATTCAAAATGTGTTGAAACTGTGAGGCGCTCAGCACCAAACAATACCGCCATCCGCCACCCAACCTGAAGACACTTGCTGGAGGCCAGCCTGACCGCAACATCATGGCTTGAAAACCAGAATTCTGCCCTAGCTAAGAAGGGCGTCAGGTGAAGGGACCAATACATCAGGCCCAAAGCTGGAATGAACAACCAATTATATTATCGCTGGATTATATGGGGTAATTGGAAGGTAGTTATTTAGGTTGGTTAACAAAGATCATGGCCACCCGAAACAATAACCCGAACACCTCAAAATCTTATCTTCCTTGTTTGTAGGGTGGGCTTGACCGAGACAAACCAATGTTTCGACGACTGCAAGATCTGCACTGCTCTTGGAGCCAAGCCCGGCCAAAAATGAGCAAATGCAACATCAAATGCATGGACTTAACTATGACTTAACTTTCTCCCCAAAAAGTAAAGCGCTACACAATCTTTGCACTGCTTACAAGAGAAACTGCAATGATGCTATTATGACATCAGTGTTGCACACATGGAGCCACTCATTGCAGCACAGAATCATGAAACCAACAACCAACCCTTGCCTCTACACACACCTCCTTCGCTCTCACGGTGGGACATCACCCCAGCATGGCCGTCCCTTCACCCTGCCTGGCGCCTTTGCAACAAAAGGATCGCCGCCTCTTTCGTGGCGACCTTGGTGACCCGTTGGCCCAGCGTGAGCTGTAAACGGCGTAAAGACAGTGTCACAGAACAGGTGCCCTAATCCTGCTTGATGGCAGCTGTCGGCTTTGCAATCTCTCGTGTATGGTTGGGAAGGGATCAACATGTTACTTGGCTCCTCTGGATCTGTCTGTGTTTAGAACCATTGAAAAGATCAAAATCAGACAATGTTTGCGGCACTGTGTCATCTATGCCCACAGGAACCGCTGCATTGAACAAAGCCGTCCCAAATGGCCTGCAGGTCCTGGTCTTCTTCTGCAGGTCTTGCGCTTGCATGAGGAACTTCCTCGGTCAACCTGTGGAAGATTGCGTTTGAAAGTCCATGTCACCACGATGTGGTTTGTTTTGAATCGTTGGCGTGCCCAACCTTCACGGTTTAAAGGCAATTCTCCTACAAATCATCATCCCTCGCTGCAGGAGGCGAAAACAAGGCTAGCTGTACCTTGCGCTGGCACTCTTACCACAACATCTTGGCTACAACTCACAAGGGTCGCACAATGGTCCAAACGGCTCCCGCGAGCTCCAGGTGGTGTGGGAATTTGCTTGACTTTGGAGGTTCGCCTGCCCCCCCACACAACAGGCTTAACATCTGTATATAAAAGGGCTCATGTAGAAAACCAGCTGCTTGTCACCCAAGTTTGCACCTCTTCTCTTCATATCCATGTCATGCAGGAAACCTATAATTTCAGGTGTTGTGACATCGACTTCAAACCCAAAAGGTCCAAGAGGCTCATGTCGCAATGCACCCGTTCTCCGCCATGGCCCGGCCTTCAAGTCGATCCCAAGGGCTCTCTCTCGCAATCAGGGCCTCAATAACCCGCACGGTGCTGTGATGCTTGCTTGGGCTGTGGTTGAGCCCTGAAGGATCCATTGAAACTGACCTCTTGAGGTGGAAACGCGCCGTATGACTGTAACGGGTTGATGCACAGATTCAGTAACTGGTGAGCAAAAGGGGGGTGAACGATCTGCCTTCACACGAGTGGCACCAGCATGGGCCACAAGCTTGAACAGCCTTTCTTTGCAGAGTCCATTTTGACACGAAAGGCCTTGGCATTCCGATTGGGCAGGATGCCATGCAGTCGGGGCAGTGTTAGCGCATTGATTTCCGGCGGCTGCCATCACTATGATTAGTGGAGGAACAATGGCCTTGTAGAACTTACCTTTCACTGCTAAATGGACCCACATCATGAAAAAAATGGCTCCGCAACTGCAAGAAAGCAAAGCAAGGGGCAGCTTTTGCAAGACGTTGGCAGCCCCATTCTTCCATCTTTTTGCGCATGTCGTCAAGGGCCTCCCTCACATCAAGCAGGTGCTGGCTGCCCAGGACATGCATGCTTTTCCACAAGCCACCTCCTTCAAACCTGTGAGGCTGAAACGGACTTGGCCACCAGGATGCTTCAGAAAATGTATACCGAAAGGGCTGTATTTTGAGAAGGAGCATTTCCAACGCCGGCTGCCTTTGTTGAACCGCGCCATCCCATGCTTGACTTCCACTCTGACTTCTCCACGAACCCAGTCTACTTTCGAAGAAGTTCGTGACAAGGAACAATTTGGGTGGAGCATTCGGTTCACTTCAAATGCTATTTCTTATTATTTCTTCAATTCGCAAGCCACATAGTGCTGGTGTCATTTGGCTCAATGGCACCCCCTCGTACTCAGTGCCGTGGCGTGCTGCCATTCCTTGCAATTGCTGTGCCAGGAAGGCCCTCAAATTTATGCGAGCCACAAGTTTGCAATGGCCTGCAGCCAGGAGCTTGTCGAGTATTTGGGACAGCGCAATTTGCCAACATTCTTGCCCTGAAGCACCACGGATCTGAATGTCATGACCACGAAATCCTGTCGACTGGCCAACTGAGATGACTCCCGTCCGAAGATCATGCTTGATGATATGCAAGCTGTCTGGGCTGAAGATCGTCAAATACAAATCATCAAATGGAGCCTGTTCCCGAAATCCTGGCCGTGGCAGCTTGATGCCCTGGAAGCGTACACTCCAACGTTTCCCATTTTCTTGCCATGACATTTGCGCACTTTTGCACTCAATTTTCCGGCCACCCAAACTGAAGTCATCTGAAGTCCCACTCGGCCTGTGAAGCTGACCTTTGAGCTCCATTGCACCGAGCCCCTCGGGTAGGCTCTTCGATTGTGCTGTGCGGATGTAGCCGCGCCAGTTCCTCTTGCAGGATTATTCCGCGACGCTTTGCGCACACCAACGAGAATGCACGGCCAGCATAACTTGCATAGGCCTTGCAGGTCTGCCCAGCATCTTTCAGAATGTGCTTGATTTTCGAGGCGCTCAACACCACACACTTCAAATGTCGTCCGAAAACACATGCAATAAAAGTTGCTACTGGCAAACGCTTCTGCAGCATCAAGGTTTGAAGCCAGAAATTCCAGCCAATGCGACACAACCGTCTACATTGCGCACTCGGGTTGGCCGTTTGAAAGGGCTGGGCCAACAACAACGTCAGCTGAATTCAGTGAATAGGCCAAAGGGGTTCAGGGCCTATACACCGAGACTTATACCGAGTTATATTAGAAACACATCCACACACTACCTCCTCACCTGGGCCATGGGAGGTGCACTGCTTCATTGCTAAAGCTCATCAACACGGCAAGACATCCAAACCAATGGATTCGCACTGTAAACTGGCCCAGGTGACAGAACTGCACCAAAGGATTCCCAAGATCTGGGGGTTTCACAGTGAAAACAACATGGTGACACACAGAACAGTTTCCAGCATTCCTACACAGCTTCTCTTCCAACTCGAGATGCTAAGAACTGAAGAACACCACGTCGTAGCTCAGCGGTATGACAAGTTGGCTCTGATCGGCTGATGGCTGGATATGGTGGCAAGCACCTGCGTGAAAGGCTTGGGCAGGAAACGTGCATCAGCCTCGCTTGTCCCAAAGCACCGTTGCTAAAGGCTGACAGCCCCAGTCTACCTCGATTTTCACCAGCATGAGGTCAAGTGCCTCCTTGATGTCAAGCATATGTTTGGGTGCAGAAAGCCTCAAATGTCTTCCACGTGGACTCTGTCTCATGCCTGGGTCGAAGTTTCCAGGATGCTTCAGAAAGTGAAGGCCGAAGGGGCTGTAGATTACAAGCCAAAGCTCATCAAACATATTAGTTTCACGAACATTGGCACCAGCACACTTGATTCGTGAGAAACCACAATACCAACACTGCCTGTCTTGATCAAAGAGCATCTGTCCATGCTTGTTTTCGACTTTCACATCTCCACGAACCCAGTCTACGTTGGAAGAAGATCTGGAAAACTGAAAAGAAACATTTGGATGGAGAATCTGATCCACTTCGAATCCTATCTGTTCGATTCGCAAGCCGCGCAGCTCTGGCCCTGTGTGGTTTAGGGGTACTCCCTTGTACTCATGGTCCTGGCGCGCTGCCATTCCTTCCATTTGCTGTGCCAGGAAGGCCCTCACTTCTTTGGCTGATAAATCTATGTACGCCACAAGTTCGCAGTGTCCTGCAGCCAGAAGCTTGCCAAGAATTTGAGACCGTGCACTTTGCCAAGACTCTTGCCTGCGAGCACCTCGGACAACAATCTGATGACCACTACTTTTTGTTCGCTTGCCAGCTAGGGCAACCCGGGTCTGAAGATCATGCTTGATGATGTGCAAACTATCCGGGCTGAATATCGTCAAATACAAATCATCAAATGGAGCCCGTTCCCGAAATTCTGTCTCTGACAGCTTGATGCTGCAAAATGTGATAGACCAACACTTCGCATTGCTGTTCCAAGACATCTGTGCACTTTTGCACTCAGTTTTGCGGCCGTTCAACACGAAATCGTACTCTGCCTGCGATGTGGGCTTGCGACTTCCATCGCAGCGAGTCCCTTCAGTTGGCTCTTCAATTTTGCTGTTCGGATTTAGCCGCGCCAGCTCGTTCTTGCAAAAGCGCTCCAGGATTGTTCCGCGACGCGTCCCAGGCAGCAAGGATAACTCATGTCCGGCATTTCCATTGTAGGCTTGGCTGGTGAAGTCTGGCTTTTCAAGAATGTGCAGGAACTGCGAGGCACTCAGCACCAAAGGCCTCCGCTGTTGCCATCGGAAACCAAATGGAAAAAATGCAGTTACTGCTGGCAAAGCAGTACGCAGCATGAGATTTTGAGCCCGGGATTCCTCACTGACGCAAGGTACCTCAATCGCATGACACAATAGAAATCGCTAAGTTACTAAGGGAGTCACCAACGCAAGAGAGTCGCTCCGCAAATGTCAACTGCAGGACGTGCAGTTTAAAACAGGTTCACTTCGAGTCTGAGCGGTACAGTGTTTGTGTTTTTCTTATGTTGTTCGAGGTCTGAAGCGGTTGGAGTCACATTCAACATCCATCTTCCATGCTCAAGAGTTGACCCCAAAGAATCAATGCTTGGACGTATTTAGCCAGCCGGTTTCTAGGAACAACCACCCATCACAGGGCAATCGAAGGATTCAATCAGTGCTGACATGGTCGCCACAGCTAGAACCAAAAGACTGATTGTAAGTTTCCAGCATGCCCTGCTCTGGCGTTTCTTGCTAGTTGGGCTGTGCAACAGCCCTTCATACAGCTAAGGGGCGACGAGTTTCTCGAGAGATTCGGCAAAGTCAAAAGACACTTTTCGCTGCAAATGACATGTTGAGGGAGTGCAGTTCACCCATAGCTAATTACAGAGCATGGCGGATTCAAAAGTATCGGCATTCTCTTTTTGCAAAGACCGAATCCCCAAACAAGACACTGGTCTTCCATTGTCTCTCGTCCTGGGTGCAGTCGCTGCCCTGGCCTACATGGTGGGCTATGTTGTCGAAGTGCGGCGCCTGGAGATCAAATGAAACCCCTTCAGCAAACGAGGCAACCCACCAAATCACACAAGCCTGCAACTTAACACACTTTTATTTTTGTCAGGCTTTTGTTGGATGAGTCCATCTTGAGGGTTCCTCATGATCGTCGAGAGACTGTGCACGGAGTTTCCAGGGTGGCCCTACCACAAACACAATTGAACGATGCATGTTCCATGAAACAGCCAAGTGCGTTCAAAGTATAGAAATGACATGCACGGTTTCACCCAGACCACTTGGGGACCTTAGCAGCAATACTTGCATACTTACAGTGGTATGTATATAGATCTCTCTCTCTCTCTCTTGTATATAATATAGTATGATGTGAATTCTGGGGAGTGTCACCGAAAGCCACCGATCATTTTAGGACCTTAGGAGTTCTCTACGTAGTCTATGGGGAAAAGTGGGAGGACCGCCCTCCAGGTGCAACCAAACGAACTGACGTTCGTTTAAGCACATCACATCATAGCCAGCGAAGGACTAATGTCGGGCCAGTCCATGCTCAACACATTAGAAGCACGGCATGTCGAAGCAACACTCGCCTCCCTGAGCTTGGATAGGCCAGCATAGATTTGCCATGCAAATCCAAAAATGGCTCTCCAAAAGAAGAATCAATGTTCCAAACCTGTCCCTTTAATAGACTTATCATATGCAGCAATCAAAGGCCCAAGACTGACCACAATGAACGCACAAAGAACCTACAAACCTCTTCTCTTGCACAGCACTATGCGCAAAAGGAACTACCGTCGCGCAGATACAGAAGGCAATAGAGGGCAAATAGCAATTACAAAAACGCCCATCCTGTACCAACTCCAAATTCTGAGATCAAAGAAGGATTAGGACAAGATGTGAAAGGAACATAATACAGTCGCAAACATGTTTTTTGACTCTAGGATATTCCACCTGTGGAGACCCTGGGAAGATAGGTACAAAAGAATGTCCAAAGCCTCCACACAAGCCAGGCATTGCGGGGCTTTTCCTCAGGCTTGAGCAGCTGGTCTGTTTGAACACGGCAAGGTATGACAGGCATTGAGGTTCATTGTGGGAGCAACATAATGTATGCGGCGCGCTTGTAGCACCACAGCTGGATGGGATAGAGAAAAGGACTTACTGTACATGCAGAGTTGCAAAGCCTTAAAATTTCCAAGGAATAGTTGCAAGAGGCAATCCTTGAGATCATGGGACAGCCTGAGCACCACAGAAGCATGGGACTAAAGGCATTTATGCACCAGGAATGGAGAAATCACCACAGAATTGTTGCAAGAGGCTCGCAGCCCCATTCCTCCATCTTTTTGAGCATTTCGTCCAGGGCCTCCCTGACATCAAGCACACTTTGGCTGCCCAGAACATACATTTGTTGTCCAGCAGCCTGCTCTTTCAAACCTGTCAGGCTGAAACGGACTTGGCCACCAGGATGTCTGAAAATATAAAGGCCGAAGGGGCTGTAGATTGCAAGCCACAGTTCGTCAAACACATCACGAGCACGAACACCACGGCTAGCACACTTGATGTTCACGAATTGACACTCCCAACGCCCATTGATGTAACACATTTGCGAACTCTTGAACTCCACTCTCACTCCTGAACGAACCCAGTCTACGGATTTGGCAGAAGTTCGTGAAAATGAACGATTAGGATGCAGGAATTCTTTATCCGCCTCGAATGCTATGTCCTCAAGAAGATTGCCACGCAGCGCTGGTGCCATCTGGTTCAGCGGCACCCCTTGGTATGCCTCGTCCTGGTGCGATTTTACTCTGTCCATTTCCTCTACCAGCCAGCTGCGGACTTCAACATCTGATAAGTCGATGCAAGCCACAAGTTTGCAGCGATCCGCAGCCAAGAACTTGTCAAGCATTCGAGGCAGGGCGGTTTGCCAACATTCTTCCTTCCGAGCACCATAAACAGCAATGTTATGACCGCCGCCGGTTGCAGTTTGCGTGCCAGCTTTTTCAACTCCGGTCTGGAGGTCATGTTTGATGATGTACAAGCTATCTGGGCTAAACAGTATCAAATACAAATCGTCAAATGGAGCTTGATCCCGAAGACCTAGCCATGGCAGCATGACGTTGCGAAATCGGAAGCGCCAACGCATCTTGCTGTTGTCCCAAAAAAAGCCGTGAGCTTTTGCATTCAATTTTGCGGCCATCCAAAGTGAAGTCATACGGCGCATTGCGGGCTGACCTGCGGGCTCCATTGCAACAAGTCCCTGGAGCAGGCTCTTCAATTGTGCTGTGTGGATGCATCTGAGCCAGCTTCTTTGTGCAAAAATCTTCCAGGATCATTCCGCGTCGCTTTCCGCTCAGCAAGGACAGTTGCTCGCCAGCATGACCACGATAGGCCTTATTGGTCCGCCCGGTGTTGGTCAGAATGTGCCGGAACCACGAGGCATGCAGCTCTAGATGACACCTGCACTGCCATCCAAAGCACAGCGCAAATAGAATGGCTACAGGCACACCTGGCCACAACATCATGGCAACCTTCGCGCCTTCCCCACTGGTGTGGTTCAAACCGATCACACCGATCACATATTATTCCAAGTCACTTCGTTAAACAGCTGAACTAAGAAGGACTTCAAGGGCCTGATCTGGGGACAATCCAAACCAAAAGACTTTGAGATGAACTTTATCAGGTGAATCACAACTTTCCATGGGAACGACCTTAAACAATCAGATCTTTTGAGCCTCCCTTGGGTTCAATAATTTCAACGGGCTTCTCTCTCCATACGCTGCATGAGTTGTCTTATCAGTTGATTGGGTTCGAAGTCATTGGCGCAGGGCATGGAGCCTCGCAATCGCAGGAAGGGCGTCATGGGCTAAAGTCACCGCATGGGGTTGTATGGGTAGTTTCCCAAGATCCTAGAGATCGCAGGAAGAATTTACATGCAATGATTGTAGCATACGTCTCGCACCAAATGCAAGTAATCCGTAATTCTGACCAGGTGTGGCACGCACAAAACTACCCGTTGCGGCTTGCGGTTAAAGAACTGGGAGCATCAAGCCACCTGCCGCCTTACAATGCGATTCTACCCTGTTTGGTGCACCACGGAGGGGATGGAGCTTGAAATGCAAATCTGCCAGCCTTTGGCCTCCCCAAACGCTGTTGAACAAACGGCTACGAACGAGTCGCGTTATGTCGCGGAGCAGCTTCGGATGACACCCGCCGGCTGTTAGTTTAACTTACATTAGCCAACTGCCCTTGGAGGCGCTGCTCAAAGGGTCCAACTTTGGGTCCAACCTGATCCAACAACCCTTCACAAAGGAGGAAGGATAGGAAGGTGTGAGATCTTTGCTGAAGATTGGGCACACTCAAAAGAAATTGCCACTCGAGCGCATGTCATGCTTGGCCTAGCAAACAAATCCTTTGGCCGCAAATGCTGTTGAGTTTGTTGGGAGTGTCGGTCATTGGCAACTGGGATTTCTAAAGAACACATCAGAATGAATCACCACTTCACCATGTTCAAACCGTTCCGCTGCTTTTTCGACTCCCTTCACCTCACCTTCTCCTCGGCCCGCCGGCCAGCACATCCAGCCCGGGCTGACAGATGCTGTCGAAGTGCTGCCTGGGCATCGAAACCCCTTCCGCGGGGGCTGGGACTGGGCGCCTTCGATGTGTGCAAAAAAGGACTACCTGGAAACCCAGCCCCAACCAGAAACAACTGGTTGCTCCAATATGGCAATGGAACTCCTTCACATAACAAATGGTTGTTTGGGAAATCATCCATTAGTTTCTGGTTGTTTGGGTTTCTGGTTGTTTGGGTTTCCAGGTGTACATTAAAAACCAAGTCCACTGGTTTATATACAGTTTTACGGCCCTTCCAGTTGCCCATCTTGACTTCCATGTGGTCCTTTGCGACAATGTGATCAAATGCGGGCCAACAACTGCATGAGGAGTGTCGAGGGTGAGACAGCATACACACCACACAGGCTCACCCAAAGAAACAAATTACAAACATCAAACACAAATGAAAACCATTCGTTGTGCCAAAATCGATCTTAACATTTCAAACGGTCGAGCTTTGAGTGATGGACCTCCGCCTCAACATGCGTCAAGACTCTGCCCGGCCCAGTGCTTCCCCCCGTAGCGCCTGGGCCATCTTGCTCGCAGGGCCCGGGCCCACCGGGTTACAAAGACTTGAGCAACCAAGCTGTCTTAGAGTTTGGTGCTGGATATCCGGTGGCCGCTGCTGAGTCAGATGGAAGGTCTGGGCCCTTCTCACTTCGAGGCCCTTTTCATTCGCAAGCACCCCAGCTAAAACAGCCAAAACAGCAACACTCTCAAGAGTAAACTGGTGACCCTTAAGCATCTGCATAACGACTCCTTCATGACATCTGCAGTTCACAGTTGGTCTCGTGTCCGATGAGTATTTTGCTGGAGGGGCTTGAGCAGCTGGAATGACCAAAGCTTTTGTATGCGTTTGGAATGCTAGTCAGGCCATGCTAAGACACCCCTCATTTGGCACAGTTCAAGACCAAACTATTGGGGACTGCATTCAGCAATGGTTGGCCGGGCAAAAAGAACACCAAAGAAAGGAACCTAGTAGTAATTATTAGGTTACCAAGAGTGTACCAGGTATATAACCAGGTTCCACGAGCACCAGGTAACCACGAACGTCGAGGTGTGTACACCTGCCCCCCAAAGAAACCCTTTCACACACCTTCTCCTCGTTACCGCACGAGCTCCGACCGCACGTCGTGCCCTTTTGGACCTCCCATGACCTCCCTCAGCTCTGGGGATCCCCCCAAAGCCGTCGAAGCGAAGGACGGTGGGCGAGATGGGTCTTCCTTCCTCGGAAGCTTCAGCATTTGGGTGGCGAAAAGGGAAAGAACACTCGAAATGAACCAGATCAGAGTTGGATATATCCTACTGTGAATGCTGTGTTTTATTATGTTTTATGTCCATGCCACGTGCCCTTGGTCGTTGAGAAAACAGATATGTGCAAGGGCGGCCCTCTCAGTGAACATATGAGTGTCCTGCCCTGCAAGTGTTTGTAACGTTTATGCCTTTTGAGTGTCCAAACGTTAACAACCGGCCTGACCCCCACCATGCCCCTGGAAAACATCCGGATGTCCCAACACAAAACAGGAGCAACCCAGACAGTCTCGTCACCTCTTCGGCCCCAAGAGCCACTTTTGGCACTGCGCAAGCTTGGCGCCCTGATGCACCCTGTACGACTGTCTAAAGTCTGACTAGCTGTCTGGCCTTGCCGAATGCAGAAACAAAGAAAATATAGATGGCGAAGCCTTCAATAAAAGAGCTCTATAGAAACATATTATGTGATGATCATTTGCGGACTACTGGATCACCAAACCTATATGATCTTTAACTTAAAAAGAAAAACCCACCTCAATTTGTAATTGTATGTCTTGCACTTCGGCACCACCGACTGGCGCGGTGACCATGACTCCGAATGGACGGCACCAGGGGCCGCTTCGTGGCGGCCGAAGCACCGGACGGGATGCCCGGAACCTCTACGCCGCGCCGATCGTCGGGCGGGTTCTCCGCGTTACGATGGACATGGAGCTGCCGCGCTGCTTCACACACACACCGCCAGGCCGGGGGAAGTCTGGGAGCATGTCTTGTTTTTATCTTCCCTTTTGTTTGCAGAGGATATGCTTATGTTGCCGTGAATGGATGTACTTAGGAGCTGTATAGGGGGATTCCGGTGTATTTGGGGCGGATCAACAAATCAGCTGTAGGGGATTCCAGCACATGGTGATTGGTTGGGTCTCCTCTCAGTTTGGAGGAACCTGAAAAGACTTCGACAATAACCCTGAGTTGGCCATCCTGACTAGGTAGATCTTTAGATGCAAAACATGGGCTTGGCACTCAACAAACCTGAACATATCTATGTCTGTCAAGCACACAATCTACTGCAACATCTACAGTATGTCTACTGCATTCTACTGCTACGGGTCTCATCACCAAACACCAGTGTCCTGTGCAGCCATTACGCTGCTGTACCAGGAGTGTGTCAGATCAACAGCAAACTCGACAGGTTAATAGAGTGAACGTCTGGCGAAAAGTGCTGCTGTACTGCTTGATTCTGTCTACTGCGTGAAGATAACTCCTATGAGTTTTGAAGCGGAGAACACGCCGAGAGACTCTCACTTGACACTCAAGCGATCCACCACCGCTTTAAGACTCATTGAACCCTCCACAACGCATGCAAGCAAGGGAATTCCTTCATGACACATGCCCCCCATTAGCCTTGTAGAGGAAAACGGTCTTGAGCGAATTCATGTTCCATGTCAACAACCAGAGTCAGGTGGTTCCTTCACTGCTTCACAGCATCCTCTGAGATTATTCGCTGCACCTGACAGGGTGGTGCAAGGTGCAAGTATTGTTTCATATTGTTTCTGATGGTTTCTCTTGTGGCCAGGCCGGCTGCGCGAAAGAGCTGAAATCACCAAATGGACATGTCCTGAAGGTCAACAGCTGTCAAAACAAAGAAATGGGCCACACCCAATCCTAGCTCATTATTATGTCGTGTCAAGAGAATCTTCCCCAACGTAACCGGACCTTGCAACTTCCAGCTAAACGCTGTCTTCTCCAGTCCTGGAGTCAACTGATGTCGGCGTCCAGACTATCAACCAAACATTGATAGCTATAAGTCATGCTAAGTCCCTGGGCTGCTAAGGAAGAAAGACAAACAGGATGCGTTTTACAAATCAGGCACCATCATCCCTAAGTGGAACCGCTGGGACTTCCTTGACATTCCGATGAACGGCACAGTCATCCTTCTCTGCTAAAGCCACTCTCCAATTCTTAGAGTCTTAGGGTTTCTGATCTTTAACATCGAAAACACGTGAAGTTGCATGACATGACCCTCCTTTAAGAAGACACCGTATCGGCCCGACAAACATCGACCAACACATGCAAATGTCGTTTCAACGAATCCTCCTCAGGCTCCGCTCTCAGGCTCCACCGACAAGTCCAAGTCTTCCTTCTTCTGCAGGTCTCTCGCTTTCGTGAAGTACTTCCTCGGTGCAAACCCGGCCACACCGAACTCGGTGACCACCACCGGGGATTGGTATAGAAGAGAATTGAGGGCAAATCCCTCAAACCAATGACACTCCCCACTGGGCCCAGGCAGCGGGGCCACTCGATGGATAGGACAGTCGTCTCAAAGTTCAAGGTCCCTGTTGTTTTCCGAGAGGGTCTGGCAAAATGTCCTTTAGTAGTATGGACAAGTGAACATCGTAGCGCAATAAACAAGTGACGAAAACAAACCACTGAGTCACTGAGTGTGCGAAACGAGTGAACACCGGTTTGAATTGAACTTCTTCAAGGTGCTGACCTATACACAATCCATGCAAACAACAGCTGGAAAACAACATTGCTGCAGGAAAACTTGTGATTCAGTGGGTGTGAATTCGATCCCGCCAAAACATTTCAGCAGTGAAGTGCAGTGATAAGCGACACATCTTTCACTAACCTTTAGTGATGTAGGCCCCTCCACTGTTGGTCTGTTCTTCCCCAAACGTAGCCTCCTCAAAACTGACACGAAGCTGATTTTGGGGTCTATGAGTCTATGCGATCCCTCACGGTGTATGATTGCTGTGCTGCTGTCATCCTTGGAGCGCTCGTTTCTGGTTTCTTATGTGCAGCGAGCATCTTATCAATGACTCCGTCAATCCCAGGACTGAGGATCACTTTATTGGTGCCTCGGACGAATGGCGATGCAAAAAACACTCCCCCAATGGATCCAGCTGGCACCAAGAGTCGGTACTACCAGGGATCCCCAAGACCTGTGGAAAGGAAACAGTTCATGACAAATCAAAGACCTCTGTTAGATACATGGTTTCACTTTGCTCAGGGGCAGCATTGCCTGAAACCCAGTCTTACATTGGTTTCAAGAGTAGATGGCACAATCCCGGCAAGTTTGGTGATATATATTTGGACCCCCATCCACCAACAACAAAAACATCTTGGGGCTTGTTCTATCTAAGATTCTACTCTGAGATCCAGTCTTAAGAGTCTCCCATGGCCTTTGGATTCGCCACGCTTCATCTGGTGCTTTCGGAAAATGTTCAAAGAAGGCTCTGGTAGAAGGTGCAGCTCCCCAGAGTGCTTATGAGGGGGTGCAAACCTAGAAAACTATCAACAGGCTTTAGATACCAAAATGTGAAAAGCACAGTAAATCTCAACTAGTTGAAAAAGGCTCCACTACATCACGGCTGAGTATTTTTGTGCTTGTCTGCGCCTGTGCTTCCTTCGGCAACCAATCTCAGCGTTGTGCAGTTGCATGTGAGGAGTTGGGGTGCAAGACACCTCCACGGAGGACAAGTGAACACACTCAACATTCTTACAACAATGATCTCTCCCCCCTCCCTCTCCCCTTCTCTCTCTCTCCCTATCGTTTTCGACCTCTTTCGCGCAGCGACCCTTCACACCATGCTTCACCTGCACCTGCAAGCAAGGGGCTCATGTAGAAGGGCACGTTGTCTGCGATGGCCCTCTTCAAGTCGATCCAAATGGCGATCTCGCAGTCATAGCCTCAACGACTCCCCCCCGGAGACACCGCGGGAAAACAGGCGCAGCGGGCCGTGGGAACGACCCCGAAGGCAAAAAACAGGAGAACACAAATGAGATACGCATGCATATACTGGACCACATGAATTGGACTCCAGAAACTTGGAGTCATGAGATAAAACACGCCAAGTTGGTAAAGGAACATCCTCCAACCTGACAGTCAATCTTCCAAGGTATTTGGCAGACTGGTGACTGGTGCGTTGTCACTGACTTTGAGCTATCTGCGGCTACCATGCGCTCTTTTTGGGGGTCCTGCTGCAGGGGGCCTGCCAAAACTACATTCAGACATATGTAGCTTACTCATATTAGAAAGCCATACTTGCATTTGACATCAATATTTGCAGTGTCAAGGCTGCCAAAAAAAAGAAGCCCTTCTCTAAATGCAAAGCTGAACCACACGAGGATTTTGCCGTCCTCACACATCCGCTGAATCACGCCCCATGACTGCGATAGAATCAATCCGCAAATTGCCTGGCATGGAAATGTGCATCAACTGCTCGTGTCCCAAAGCACAGTTGCAACAGGTTGGCAGCCCCATTCCTGCATCTTCTGTAGCATTTTGTCAAGGGCTTCCCTCACATCCAGCACGTGAGAGGGCGCTCTGATGTCAATGGTACTTCCAAACACCTGCTGTCCCACACCTGCGTCACAAAAGCGGACTTTGCCGCCAGGATGCCTCAAAAAATGAATGCCGAAGGGGCTGTAGATGGCAAGCCACAGCTCGTCAAAACTAGTCAGCTCACGAGCTTCATCACTGGCACACTTGATGTGTGAAAAACTGCATTGCCAAAACTTCTTCTTTTTGTTGAAGCGCATCTGCCCGTGCTTGACTTCCACTGCCACTCCTCCACGGAGCCAGTCCGCAGTAGAAGAATGTCTCAAAAATGAATGAGTTGGATGAAGAATTTGATCTACTTCAAATGCCAGTGCCTCAATTCGCAAGCCACGTAGCTGTGGTGTCATGTGGTGCAGCGGCACCCCTTTGTATGCATGGTCCTGAAGTCCTGTCACTTCTTCCATTTGCTGTGCTAGCCAGCTTCCAATTTCAGCACCTGACAAATCCACATAAGACACAAGTTCGCAGTGTCCTGCAGCCAGAAACTTGTCAAGAATTTGAGAGCGTGCCGTTTGCCAGCATTCTTGCCTTGCAGCACCTTCGGCAGCAATGCGATGGCCAGCGATTCCTGTTTGCTTGCCAGCTGTGGAAACTCTAGTCTGAAGATCATGCTTGATGATGTGCAAGCTATCCGGGCTGAAGATTGTGAGATACAAATCATCGAACGGCGCCTGGTCCCGCAAGCCTGGCCACGCCAGCTTGATGCAACAAAAGTGTACGACCCAACTTTGCCGCTTTCTCTGCCATGTCATTTGCGCACTCTTGCACTCAATCTTGCGCCCATCCACACTAAAGTCATACTCCGCCTGTGAAGCTGACCTTCGAGCTCCATTGCAACGCGTCCCTCGGGTAGGTTCTTCGATTGTGCTGTGCGGATGTAACCGGGTCAGCTCCTTCTTGCAAACTTCTTGCAAGAGCATTCCACGATGGTTGGAACAAAGCAAAGACCATTCATGGCCAGACTGACCAACATAGGCCTTGCTAGTGTGCCCGGCATTGTTCAGAATGTGCTTGAACTTCGAGGCGCTCAGCACCATACACCTGGACTGCGGTCCAAAACAAAGCGCACATGGAATAGCTACAGGCACGCCTACATGCAACATACTGCAAGTGCTTCCGAGCCAGAACTCTGAAATATATGCGACACAACTCCACACAGTTCAAAACACAGGTGGGGCACAATGCTGCAACTGGAAGAGCTCAACACCCCCAAAGGAACCACACTCTGTGGATTTTCACGAGCTTCCATTCGTCCAACAAAAAAGACTACGTCGGGTGAATGTGCCCAAAGGACCCCATGCTCTGCAAGAATCAACTTGATCACATCGACCTTTTGGGTCATCTCTAAAAAAGACCTAGGCTTTGAGAGGGCCCCTGAGATCTTGAATTGCTCAAAGTTGGCGGTGCGGTAGGGCATGAGTCATGAGGCCTGAATTTCCCCAAGCTGCTGCAGGATGGATTGAAAACACTGCGTGGAGAAGAAATCCAAGGTCTTGATGAAGGTAAAACACCAGCCACTTTGGTGTCCACGAATCGGAACACGGTTTACAACTCGAAGAAGCCTGGGATTCAACCCACATCGACCCGCTTGATGCTTGGGTCGTAGTTCAGGGTTCTGTGGGAAAAAAAGGTTGGAGCACGGCGGGTTTAGGTGATTAGCATGGAGGGATGAAGCTTCTTGACTCAACTGCTTTGCAGCTGTTCTGAACGGAAATGGAAGCAAGCGTTTCAGCAAGCTTCGCACAGCTCTTTTCGGCGAGGAAGGCCTTGAGGCTGGTTTCACAAGCCGTTTTGCATCTCGTGCTTGAGCAAGGTCGATGCGATGCATTTGCTCATCGATTTTGACAGTGGGGCATGCAAAAGAGTGGGTCGGGAATCGTGGATCAACCGCTAGCGGTGGTGTCCCATTGGACGCTTGCAAGATGCTCGCAGCCCCAATCCACCTCCATCTTTTTCAGCATTTGGTCATGGGCCTCCTTAACATCAAGCATGTGTCTTGCTTCCGCCACAACGATTCTTCTGCGACTTTCATCCTGCGTCACGGCTGGGTCGAAGTCGCCAGGATGTTTCAGAAAGTGAATGCCGAAGGGGCTCCAAATCGCCAGCCAAAGCTCATCAAAAACATCCTGGTCGCGAATGCCATACCTTGCGCACTTGATGCCCGAGAAGGCACAGTACCAACGGTGTTTGCTTCCATCAAAAAGCATTTGGCCGTGCTTGACTTCCACTTTCACATTTCCACGGACCCAATCTACTTTGGACGAAGCTCTTGAAAATGAACAATGTGGATGGATAATTAGATCCACTTCAAACGCTATCTGCTCGATTCGCAGGCCACGCAATGGTGCCGCCATCTGATTCAGCGGCACCGACATGTATGCATCGTCCTGGGGTGCTGCCATTCCTTCCATTTGCTGCGCGAGCCAGCTTCTGCTTTCTACGGCTGATAAATCTACCTCAGCCACAAGTTCACAATGCCCCACAGTCAAGACCTTGTTGTGAATTTCAGACAGCGCAGTTTGCCAGCAATCTTGCCCTGGAAAACCTCTGGTACCACAAAAGGAAACTCCAGTCCGAACGTCGTGCTTCATGATGTGCAAGCTGTCTGGGGTGAAGATAACAGGATACAATTCATCAAATCGGGACCATGGAGGCTTCATACTGGGAAAGCCAACATGCCAGCAGTTGCGGCGCCTATTCCAAGTCAATTGCCGGCTTTTGCACTCAACTCTTTTGCCATCCATACTGAAGTCGTACTCAGACTGGTAAGGTGGTCTCCGAGATCCATCGGAACGAATGCCTGGTGCTGGGTCTTCTATCTTGCTGTTCGGGTTTGCTTCAGCCAGCACCTTCCTGCAAAATTGTTCCAAAATCGTTCCACGACGCTTTGGGGACAGCAAGGACAACTCATATCCTGCATGACCCATGTATGCTTGGCTGGTCCACCCTGGGTCCTTCAGAATGTGTTGGAACTGTGAAGCGCTCAACACCAAATGCCTTAACTGCTGCCATCCAAAACCCACTCGAAGCCCTACAGCTGCTGCTTGCGAAGCTGACCGCGACATGAGGCGTTTGAGCCAGGTGTTCCTCACTGATGTGAAGTACCTCCATCAGCATATACCACTGGGACAGACCTTTAGGGGCTTAAACGGATTGGAGTACAAAGTTGTCACCCGTGACAGAATGTTAAACAGTTTGCAAGACTATAGCGGTTCATGGTCTGAGTGGTGCGTTGGATAGTTTTCTCGCTTAAAGTCTTTTAGAACTCAAATCGCACGTAGGTGAAAAGAACATAAAAGAACTAAGAACCATGAAAAACTTGGAATTCTCAAGCTGTGGGCTACATGCCACACCCCTACTGCTCACAAGCACAGTGAATACGCAATGCTGGGCATCCGAACGCATGCCGGAGATCACCTTGGGTCCAGAAAGCATTTCGATTCGCTTAGATTCTATGGGCCGATCACGTCATGATTTTGGAAAGCGAAAAGGAGGACAACCTGCATGTGCTCAACTGCCCTTGGCAAATAACAATGAGTTCGAAGCAGTCAAGTAAGGATATATAACCAAATTCAACAATTGAGCAAACTTCAACTCTGCAAGCTCTTGAATGGCCATCCGCCCAACACAAAATAAACTCTTGAGTCCCGCGCCCGCTTGTCCCCCGGCTCGCAAGGCGAGAAGTGCACGTGATTGCGAAAGCCTTGACCTCGCAAAAGCTGAAACTTGGGAGCCGGGTCCAACACCCGGTGACCCTGTAGAACAACCCCCGAGGAGCGTCTCAACAGGTTTCTCGACAGGACCTTATCGCCATCCCCCGGAGGTTCGGCAAAGCTGAAGGCGGGCAGGTGGCACAGCAAACTGAGGCACTATCTGAACAGATTGAGTGAGCTTTTTTTTTGTAAGGGCATCAAATGTTAAGGTGTATGGCGGAGGTTCGTGCAAAAACATCAACCGTTTTTTTGTTTTTTCTGCTGTGGCGATTCTTTCAGCAAGTCCAACAACCATTGCTGAAATGAGCGAATTGCACCTAAATGAATTCAGTGGACTAGGATTGACTGAAAAGGCCCATCTCTTCCAGTCCGAGCCTTGTCCACCGCCGGCCAGCAAGCCCACGCGGCGAATGCTGTCGAAGTGCCGGCGGTAGGTGCCATGCCTGGGCTCGTGCGAAGTGAAGGATCGAAGTTTAGAACAAGCTGAAGGTGAGTGGAGAATGCAGAAAAAAAACCTGTCGTGGTGGGTGGATTCAACCAGGACCCTCTTTTCGAAATCTTTCTTCCTGCAGTTCCACACAGGACTTCTGCTAAATGAAATCGCCATGCTTTTTGGACCGGGTGTACCCAGGTTTGGGTGTCTTTTGTGAGGAATTCTGCGGAAACAACGAAACGGTTGTTTGATTGCGAGGTTTTTAAAGAAACCGGGCAAATTCTGCCTCATTCTATCTATTAATGCTATTTCCAAATTGCATAATTACATTGGAACCTTGGCAGTCCATCATCTGGGAATCCATCTTGGTTCAACCCATCAGGGGAGGCATCACACACACCAAAAAAAAAGAACATAACGCTTGCTCCGTCCGTCTCTTTCCCCATCCCATGTCTTTCCGTCGTTCATTCGGTTCATGGGCCGATTCCCTTTTTTTCCGCCTCGCATCACGCGGCCGCTCGAGCATCAGGTTCGGAGCTCCAGGAGGTTCAGGGGGTGCTGGTGCTGGGCAGTGCAGCACGGGCGCAACAGGCGTGAAGGGGAGAAGGTGCGTGGGTGGTGAGGGTGGCTGGTCATCATCAATTGGTCGAATTGGTCAGGTCTGTTCGGTGTTCTCCAATTGGTCTGTTGGTGGGCTGCTGAGCCTTTTTGCATTCGGCGTGGAGAAGTGAAAGAAAGAAGATTATGCACCTTGATCTTGATTGACAATAGCAATGTATACAAAATCATATATAGGATATCAAGCAAAGCATAGCCTACCATCGCACAAAGGCACAGGTCAAGAGTTGGAATGCCACCAATCATTTTTACAATTGAGATCGTTTCAAAAAATCCAACATGCGGTTGATGGCTGGTGACTGGCGCGTGAACAAACATCCATCAATTGATCTAAACATATCTAAACATCAGTTGATCTGACAATTGCCCTTGCAGTTCTCAACCAAATCCGTTGTTATCATACTCCCATCTCATAAGCATTCCTCTCGGCCCTTGTGAGAAGGCACCTGAAGGTCTGGGTGGTCGACTGGCATCCTTCCGCCTTGGCGGACCCCAGAAACCCATGGAGCTCCGGCTGACATCCACAGGTGGCAATTCGGGCCTGAGGACTTCCTCCGATTTGGGGTGATTTGGGGTGAGGGATTTGGGGTGATTACAGTATTCTCTAATCTCTATTATGTTATCTGGATGTACATGTGTATATAGCCAAAAATAAGCCAGGACGGTGTAAGCCAACCCCGAAAACGGATCAGCAGCAAAACTGGGCACACGAAGCGAGCAATTGAACAACAAAGCTATCAGTTCTAAATCTCACGCGCACAACTCTCTAGCACCATATAACACCTCAAAGCTCAAAACCCCTCACGCCCTCTCAGCATGAAGCCTCCACTGAACCTGCACAGGAACCCAGCCTTGGAGGTTTTGGATAGCCCTCCTCTTTGGGCGGTTCCTTAGATCTCTGCAAAGCGATGTGGGGTTTTCTTCTAAACCAAAAAACCGACCGGAATAGACTCACCGGCTTGAATAGACTTCTGCTTTGCCATGATGGTTTGCGGGGAAGATTTAAATCTGGTCTTCTGGTGTTAATGCTAATCCTGATCCTTTCAAACCAACTTCCTGGGTTTGCTTGAGGAAAGAACTTTGAAGATTTACACACCTTTACTGACACATTTGAGATCCGTCCCACTGCAGCATCACCAAACTACAACCAAGGAAGCTTGCTGGTGGTTTGGTTTGAGAGTCTGTATCCAAGGTGGGCCAAGTATAGGCCCTTCTAGACAAGTATGGACCAGGTGAATTGGAGGACTTCGTAATTCGTGAAGCGTCTTGGGCA